TATCAATATCATCACCAACAATGTTCTCAACACCATCAACAAGATCATCATCATAATCAATGATATCCTCAACACCATTGACGTAAGGGATGTTGTCATAGGAAAGTGGGCATAGACATCAAAGGAAGCCTCAGAGGCTCAGACTGGGTTCTCCACCCCCATTTTGTAATTTTAGAGCCGTTTGCAAGGCTAGGAGATCGGGAAGCTGAGATGGCAACCTCAAAATTATGCAAGTGGGTCACCTCTTCCTCCCTTCGGCAAGACTCAGTCGGAAAGGTATCGGAAATCTTTGATCTCAAATGCAACAGATCTGAAGCAGGCTCCCTTTGGAGACCTTTGAACTACAACTTCCAGGAGCCGCCCTGGGAATTGCAGTCTCCACAAAACAGGATTCATTTTTTTAGGGGCCTAAACAACCTTCTTATTTTCCCCCTCGGGACAAGGGAAGTGTGCTTTGGAGCCAGTCACCCGATACAAATCCCATTACATAACATGCTTACCGATTTACGCTCTTGCTACCTTCCTCGGCTAAAGTACCCCATTGTGCTATTTTCAAAGAACTGGGTGATTTGTATGAAAAAAATCCAGGCTTTCCCCCTTAAATCAATGTCTTTAAGCCTATTTCAGAGACAGGATTTCATAGAATCATAGAATCATAGATGTTTTTTCTTTCCTTTTTCCTTCAGTTACCAAGTTAACTTATCCCCAATGGTAGAAAAATCCTGGGATCTTTTACCCTAACCCTGAGCTGTTATCTTTCAGAAAGAGCAGGTCTTCCCCTATCTAAGCTCAAGAAGGATATCATGATCGATTGTATCAAAAGCCGCTGAGATGTCCAAGAGAACCAACAGGTAATAATTAACTTTCAGGGTGCTGCTGCAACCCTGGGGAAAATGCAAAGGGATGCTATCTCAAGCAACGAAAGGGCAATGCAAACCAAGCTCCTGGAAGACGGAACAACGATTCATAACAGTAGCAAAATTACAGTTGTGAAGTAGCAACGAAAATAATGTTATGGTTGGGGGTCACCACAACACGGGAAACTGTCTTAAGGTGTCGCGGCATTAGGAAGGTTGAGTTTTCCTATTAGTCTCGATGGCTTTTGCAGTTTGAGGAACTAACTGTTTGAGGCCTGAACCACATCCTCAATTGTAACGCCCCGCTTCCTTATGTTTCTCCGAAGAAGGAGGAAGTAGAAAGAAACATTCAGTTAACCTCAACCCTCTTTCTCTATCTGAGCTCAGCCCCAGTTTCTAAGACGAGAGGGTTAGAGAGACATGCACAAGAAGTGGAAAAAGGGAGAAATCACCAAAGAA